CCCCCCCCCCCCCCCCCCCCCCCCCCCCCACAATCTGGTACACTTTAGATGACCGGACCCCCCCAGAAAAGCTGTATTGGCCATCACAGTGGCTCTGTGGCATAACAGGGGCAATGGGGATTAGAGAGGGAGGGGCATCATCAATGTTATAGGTCACAGTCAATGACTGAACTCAATAGGGCATGAGATGTGGGTCAATGTTACGACATGGCAGGCGCATATCGGGCCAGCAAATAATGGCAAATGAAACAAAATCAAAAACAGGAGAACAAACCCAAACAAAACAGCCAATTCCCCCACAGTGGCTGGAAGCGATATCTTGAACATTCACAGATGCCCTGAGCATTCACAGATGCCCTGAGCATTCACAGATGCCTTGAGCATTCAGCTCAAGTGATGAATGATCATCGAGAGGCAACAAATTGAAATCACCTCCCCACCAAGTCATCCACAACAGCTGGGATCTCCATTAGTTTGCCTCTTCCCTGTTGTCAGGTTTGAGAGTTATGGCTGATTGTCAGCATCCTACGAATGGTTCACAAGCATCAGATGTAGGCGATCAAATCAGAACCAGAGTAATTGCCAACGATGAGTCAGGTGGGACACCTTGGCATGCCCATGGCAGGTTCAACCAATCATTCCTGTTGAAAATCTGTAGGGATTGGTTCTTGTTCAACAAGACAAGAACTGTTCCCAGAGGACGGGGACTACCCTCTGACGAGGTTTTTAGAGGTGACTGTGTGTGGCATTCTCCTTCACCATCACTGGATTCCTGCCTACACCTGATTTCAGAACATGGCTCACTGTGTTTATTCCTGACTGCTCACCTTGGCATATATTTGGATGCCTCTGTCAACCGTATTGGGAGCAAGTTTCTTCTTATAATCGTTTGCTAACCAGCCTCCCTTCGTGTACACACAGACACACAGACACACACACGCCCAAGAGATAAACTGAAACAAATTAGTTGGGTGAGACCCCCCCTGAACCGTTCGTTTGACGGGATGCCGTGATGATTTCCATGCCTGGGAGGGAGTGTAATCAGCGAAACTGATGTTGTGATAAAATGTGGGAACAGAGGGAAAGTGTTCGACTCCCTCAGCCCAGCAGGGGGCATCCGGGGAATCCAACATTAGGATGCAGTGTTCATATCACACTGCCTCCAGTGGTGCTCCTGCGGTCGCCACGGAAACCATGCCCCTGCAAATCCCACACCCTTCACTCCACACTCCTCAGCCTGGGAGGGAAATTGGATTCTTTGATCAGCTCACCCCCCGACACCAGGCCAAACTCATCCCAGACTAAAGTACCTGAGTTCAGTAGCAGAGTAACCATAATGTAGCCAAATAGCAATTCGGTCAATTTTATACATTTCCACAACCTGATAGATAAAGGGTTTAAGCACTGAGCAAACACGTGAAGCACCCAGGAGTACAGGAGAGGACCTGTGTTCAGTGTCAGGGAGGATGAAATGGTGCGGCTCAGTCTGACCACCTGGCATCGGTCCGACAGGAAGTTCCAGATCCATGTGCTGAGAGAGCTTTGTGTTCTGGGTCTTTACAAACAAGAAAAGCGGCTCCCATCACGGATTTACATATCGCACCAAAACAAGCACTAGGAAGCATAAATTAGTGTGATTACCTTTCAAAATCTCTCAGCCATCACCAATTAACAAAAAGATATAATATGTGATGAAGCAAAACAAATTCACAATTCTCTCTAAAAAAAAAACTAATTTCCTAATAAAACGAAGAAGTATATGCCAAGTTTATCTTCTTGTCCTGCTGAATTGCTTCATGTTATCTTCTTGGGTATCTTCTTGACCTGCTGAATTCTTAACCCTTCAAAAATCCGAGGCTTTGTATGAATTTTTGATTTAATGGAATAAGAGAATTAAAAATGCTCTTATCCAAAGCTACAGACATTTTTTTAAGAACTCAGGGTCAGACAGGCCCTGGAGCAATTAGGGGTCAAGGGCCTTACTCAGGGGTGCAAGGGTGAAGTCACTGTACCGACCCTGACGTTTGAACCAACAGCCTTGCAATCACAGACCCTCACTCACTGAAACACATAGCAGCCATGTGACTGGAAGGCTCTCCTCGAAGTCCTGTTCATATGAACACATCCTAATGTTACCCAATAGCTCCTGGCCACTCGGAGCTGCTGTGCAAAACAGCCCTGTATGCTAACCCCTATCAAAGTCATCAACTCGCTACTTTTCAGTCAGTTCATTGTTTGTCTTCATAGCAAACTGCATCACGAGTTTCGCACTGTCCTGCTCTATTGTGAAAAACCTCCCCTGATTGCTGTTGCATGCTGCACTGTTGCTGCATTCAATTTGAACTGGGAAGTCGGAAATTCTGAGTTCCTCATCTGAATTTTTAATTGAAATGCCCCCTGAAGTCAAAATTCAGAAAACGGAGGAACCTCTGCAACCCCGACCTCAGAATTCAACATGGCTACACTGTTTATCAACAGAAGGTTGATAGTTATGTACTGTTTCTTAGCACTTATGTCTTATTTGTGTTTCATTAAATAGGTCATACACACAATACTGTATAACCACTATCTGTGGACATGTTGCATTTGTTTATATGTGCAAAATGATTCATTGTTATGAACTGAAATTGCTAATGATGGCTAACAACAAACCAGGCTACAACTAGGGCCTGAAAGAAGAAAGAAAGAAGGACTTCTTGCTTAGATGGATAACTTGTCAGATTTAAGGTAGTCTGGACTAAATGTAGGGCAGGGCTATTCAACTCACGGTCCTCAAGGGCCGAGCCCTGCTGATTTTCCAGCCTTCCTTCACCTGTGAGTCAGGTGTGAAGCCTCTGACCAAATAGAATCAGTAATTATTAAACCAACTACCTGGGAGAACTGAAAACAAGGCCTGGATTTGGAATCGAGGGCCTGAATTGAATAGCCCTGATGTAGGGGAACAGAGATAAAGTCCATTTAAACTGGGGTACCTTAAATCCAACAAGTTATCCGGCTAAGCAAGAAATCCTGCTTTTTGAAACAAGTCCCTAGTATTGCTAAATGTCTTTCTGACTTGTACTGCAACACGGCTAACCTGGCTGTGACATCATTCCCAGCTCCGGCTTCCAACCTCCACGGTAAATGGAACTCGGCACGCAACTCCAGGGAAACACTATTTTGTGCCACGGGATGGTGCAACAATAAAGCCCTGCTAGATGTATCTTATCTTATCTAATGCAGACCCCAGAACCAGCCACCTCAACACCTCGTCTTAGCCCCATAGATGGTCTACAAGAAGACGATGCCATTTCTGATTTCAGCTCTGTGTTTAGGTAGCAGTACCTTTACTCGTCCTTCAGGGTAAACCCCATCCCTCCCATCAATCACAGTCTCCCCTGGCAGTGTGGGGTCATATCCTGCTGCCAATGCTCCTTTACACTCTCACATCTGTGTATGTATGTCTCTAAGGAGGCCAGGATGGGATACATGACAAGGATTCATTCCTGTGTACCTGTATCCAGACTTGTACCAATGGGAAGTAAATTTCATTTCATGAATTGGTAACACTTGAGGGGGCACAAATACTTAGTAATACTGATGAACAAATAATGACAAAATCAAGAACAAACAGAGTTGCTACTTGAGACGAGGTGTCGCTATTCATTAATGATGAACAGAGGTGAGATCAGTATTTCACTTGTTATTCGTTACTTCTTCCTTCAGTAGTTCACAAAGGTTTACAGAAGTAACAGATACAGTATAGTAACAAATATAGTAACTGCTTGGGATAAAATATGCATCATGAGTCATTAATGATGAATTAACATGAGATCAGTATGTAACAGACTTAGTTTGTGGTTAATTAATACATAAGTAACAGGATAATACTGTACTATAAGTGTTGCCCATTAATTTAATCTCTTTAGGCTCAGAATCTCTATCACACTCCATGGATGGCAGCTTTGACGGGTAACTCTTAACTTCATGCTAATTTGACCGTATCCACCGCAGAGGAGAGATGGAGGTGCGTGACCTGTGTTAAACTGAGAATGAGGACACTTATTAAACCAAACGAACAGAAAAGGGACACCGACCCTTTAAAGAGAAGCTAAAAATTAGCATAAAAGCGAGACACTACAGATTAGAGTGAGCAGTCAGGGTCAGGCCTGAATGACCATGCTCTACGCTAAGCTGCAAAATGGCTGGTCATAGTAGTGGATTGTAGGGGCTGGAGATCAGGACCAGGGGCCATGCTGGTCTTGTCAAGCTTGGGGCATGGCTGCCCTCAGACATATGGGGTGACATGGGTGAGGACCCAAAGGGGTGACCGGTGCTGCGGCCTGCATTGACATAAACA